TGTCGCTGCAACTTAATTTTAAACATAATTATATTTATAAATTCTAGGACTTTGTTTCTTAAAAATTAGAATATTTCATTTTTGTTAATCAGAAGTACATTCATAGAAAATCCATCTGGTAAATGACTTAAGGACCCTTCATAAAACAATTATATGGACTCCCACAATATTTTTAATTTTTTAAAGTGATCTGTGCATATAATTGTCCTTGTACGATGAAGACATGCAAAGAAAACACATTTTGAAATTACTTCTGAGAATTGGGATTATAACGTAACTTTTTATTATAAAAGTTTTTGAAAGTATCATACATGTATATTGTACATTCTGGTTATATTCTTCGTTGCCATTCTGCCTGCTACCCTCCTGAAAGTCTCATTCTCATGTTCACGACCCCATGGGTATCTAGGGAAGACTGTGGGGCCATGGGTTTGGAACTGTCCATTTGAGCCTGGAGGATCACCAGTGGCTACACCACTAAGAATAACGAATCTCCATCTCCCAGAATCTGTCACCTGCCAATAGTTCAACTGTGGCAAGTAGGGCCTTATGAGCCTGTCCCTCATCCTCAGCTGACTACTCTGGGCCAGACTTGCTGATGCCCTTGTGCTACAATGAAGCTTACTTTTTTAACTTTTCCTCTGGCAGTTTTGGAACATCTTGTCATAACAAAATATTATGTGCCTTTTATAGGGTATAGAAAAACAAACAACAAATAATGAGATCTATGCCCTTTGAGAGGTATCTCTCTTCTGATTTTAAATTAGGCATTTGATGCCCAGTGAGATGTTTCACCCTCAATAAGATGAGGTATTTAATTAGCATCCAGTGGTGTCTGATTGGACCCCCGATGTGACATAGTTTCATAGGAATTATAATGCAGTATACTTTCTAGTGGTGGTGAAGTTATTTAGTAAGAATTTATAATTATTAAGACTATCAGAATCTTCACTTTCATTTTTTATTTTTAGATGGTAGGTTGTTTAGATTTTACTTTTACAAGATGCCCTCCTTAAAAAAATTCCACTATGTATTCAACAAGAATCATATATCCAACAGTAATACGCCATCTTTCCTGTGTTTGCTCTCCCTCTCTGTCTTTGTCTCTTTTTTCACATTCTATGACTTAAGGGTATATAGAAAAAGATGGGTTGATTAAAAGGAAGAATGGTAATTCCAAGAACAGACCATTGAAGTATTTTTTTTTTTTTAAAAAAAAGTCCCACTGTATATATTCGGGGCACTATTTTGAGAAGGAGCCTTAGGTCGAAGTTATGAGCTGGAAGAGAAAGTGCTCATCTTGATGGTTGTAATTTGTGAAGAGGCCTCTTTCATTTCATCGTCAATATTGTGATGCTTTCAGAAAATGCACTTACATAGTCGTCCTAAAGCACTCCCTTGACTGTGTTCTCTTTCCCCAGTCACACTTTAAGAGTGAAAAGATAAGAAATTGCATTTCTTTCCATACTTCAGGATGTAGACAAGTTACTGCATTTAATGGCCGTACAATTAATGTGCCAGTTGCTTAAGGAAAAGGAATTTTATCTGGATAAAAACTGGAGGGTCCTACATAAAAAAAAAATAAAATAAAGTTAGAGGATTTGGAGCATTTCTAGTTCCAGATTTTCTGTAGTGTCACTAGGGAAATGATTTGATGATACTTACAGTAAAACCTTTTCCTAATGAAAATGTCTAGTATGAAGCACTTTCCTCTTCATAACACGTGTGATATCTTTACACCTAGTTGCACCCTTTCCCTAAACACATGCTACATAGCAGAGTGCCCACGCCATTACAGCTAGAGTGTCCCTTTCATCGCCACGGGCACACGCTTGTTACCAGCACAGAGGAGTCTGCCTCAGACCATGCAGTTTGCCCAGCTTTTGTTGTTCAGTGTTGAGAAAGTGGTGCTCAGTTAAGCTTCTGGTTTAGAGCTGCCTTAGTCATACTGTTGTGTTGATGAGGCGAAATGTGGTTATTTGAGTTCATGTTCAAAGTACTTCTGAGCCTCAGACTGATCTAGAGCGTGACACAGCATCAGTGCAGAGAGAGGGTTAGTTGAATAATCTTTCTTGAATATTTTATTTTATTGGTTTTGTATCAGGGTCCAGCTCTGACAAGTATACCACTTCCTAGGGTGGGGGCATGAGGATTAGAAAAATCTTAACTAGGAGGAACAGAGAGAATCACTAAGTCATAGGATAGGAGAAGGAGGGTGGGAGGGCAACTCAGCAAACATTGAATGCTGAATTCACCCGCATTAATTTTCCATTTGCTTTTATACCCCAATACAAAAAGGGGAAGAAGACAAAAGACTGCATTAGCATGATACAAAGGTCAACTGGAACAGTCACTCGCTTTAGGACTCGAGCCATCAAATCATTAATTCTTGACAAAAACATTTTGTTGTTTAAGCAGTGAACCCACCCTGGGAGCCACTCCCAAAATCAAACCCCCTATCTCAAAAAAAAAAAAAAAAGCAACAGTATGTTAGAATTTCCTGACCATTGTTTAGGGGTGGAGTGGATATACCTGTATGGGCCATCTTAATATAGAAAGAGCCAAGTAACCACACCCTAGGTCAGGACCTGTAGCCCTTGGTTGTTATCAACAATTTTGAACAAGCTAAAACTCTCTGACCTTCAGGCAAGGTGGAAATTGGCTCACATTTTTGGGTCTCCAAAAGTTTTGTTCTTCCAGATTTTTGCCGTGTGTGATAGTTGTCTCAGTTTTTAAAAAGATCACAGTTTGCTTATAGTTTAAATATAACATAAATGAAAACTAAAACATTTCATATTCCACTCATACCACTTTGTAAACCAATTCAAAACACATAGCTGTGTAAGATTTAGTAAAGATGAAGTCATACATGATGAGATTTTTTTTAAATATATTTTTTGTAATGCTTCTGCCAGTATTCTGCATTGAAGCACACTCTAAAATTAGATGTATACAGTCTCCAAAGGTTGCTCTGTTTTTTGTTTGTTTAGTTGCAAGCATTCATAATTCAGCTTACCACTAAGCCCCAGTTGAACATAAAAAGTCTTGACTGATTCATCCTTCCAAATTGTCCCTCTTACTGAACTGTTTATGGAAACTGATTTTTCTTTTAAAGACAAGTGATGAAAATAGTTGAATTTACTTTTGGGGAATGGGAGTTATGGTCCTTAGCAAATATTCCCACTTAGAGTAGAATTGGACTAAGACAATTTTGAGTGCCAATGAAAGAATAATGAAATATGAATCAGACACAGAAATGGTGGCCTGGGCCACCTAAATTTAAAGGAAAAGGAAAGCTGGCCCAGTGTAAGGACGACAGGGCTGTCTCTCTGCTGCATCTGCTCTTTTGTCACCGTGATCATTCTGACAAGATTGCCTAGTGCCTTTTGTATGCCTTCCTTTTATTAAATAATTTTTTTAACACATCAACCACAGTTTCCCCTCCTGTTCCCTCCCTCTACCTCCCATCTATCAACCCCTTCCACTACTCTTCCATTCAGTAAGCAGCAGGCCTCCCATGGGAATAAACAAAGCCTGGCACATCTCATAGAAGCAAGACCAAGCTCCTCCCCCCTGCATCAAGGCTGGGCAAGGCATCTCTGCATGAGGAATGGGTTCTAAGTGGTTTCTGCTTTGTGAGTACCCAAGTTCCATTGTGTTCCCCAGCTCCACAGAAGAAGGAAGGACCTGACCCCAGTGTGACTAGAAGATGAAAGGCACCGATAATAAGTCAGATCTGTCAGCAAGAAACGTTGGTTGTCCTCCTCCAACTCCTTGTCATGGGCAGAATGTGTCCAGAAATGCCCACTACTTCCTTTCAATTTGCTTACATGTGTTAAGGCAGGAAAATGCTGCTAATGTGCCGTTAATCATCCACAAATGCAGAAAGCGGCCTTCTAGCATGGAGTCTGATTTAACTTCAGGGCCTGCTCAGTTGGCACTGTCATTGTTTTGCTATTTAAGTGATGTTAGTTTCTGAATATACAAATGTTCAAATACATGTGTATTTTATATTGTAGCCGGAATACTGTCTTTGTTTTATTATTAGGACAGATTTCCATAATATAATTCAGGTTGGTAATACCATGATAAGTCAAGCACCTTTGTTGAAGAATAAATATCTGCAAACCCGTAAGTCGGCTATGAGACCCTTGAAAAATGACTACTCTACTTTTTTGGCTTACTTATGCTGGAGTTGCATTAAATGGCAACTGAGTTTGTGGAATTGTGTGTATGAGTGTGTGTGTGTGTGTACGTGTGTTTACATGCATGCGTACTTGTGTGGACATGTAATAGCAGTTATTTTTCAAAGGATGGTTTCCGAGCCCTTCTCTAATCTCTCTAGCGTCTAAAATGAGGATCTATAAAACTCTGTGGAGGCTACTAAATATCAGGTGTATGAGTGGTAGTAGAAAGAAGAAAAATGATTATGATTATACAGAATTTATATCCTGTAGAATTAAGATGGCCCCGATTGCTTTCGTTTCTTTTAAAGACTAATGCTTTCTCAAATGAAAGGGATTAAATGTCTGTAAGAAAGAAAAGCAGTATATTGACAACATCTGGTATGAAGAATTATTATAAAAGATAAGAGGATCAGGTCAGACAAAAGGATGGAGCTGGAGAATCTAATAATTAAATTTGTTTAAATCTACCTGAAAATGACAGGATTTTTCCCATTTAAATTTACCTAAAACAAACAAAGAAAAAGCTCTCTAGAGAAGAGTTTCTTTTGCAGCTACTTAGGCTTCCTAGCAAAGATCTGAAAAGGCAATTTTGAAACAAACAGTGACTTCACATAGTTTAGACCTTTGTAGAAAGCACACTTCTCAGGAAGGAGGGGTAGCCAGGTGGTGATCCAGCATGGAGATTGTGGGTGGGTTCTGCTTAGGGATTCACAACCATTCCCCACAGACAGACTCTTCTCCAGGAGTGAAAGCTGGCAGAATGCTGTTCTCTCAGCCATTCCTCTGGCCTCAGAATGGCCAAAGCAGTGGACATTAAACTCCAGCTTTGTCAGCATCTCCCGGGAAGGGCACATTGGCAGTTTCTGCTCTGTGTGTTCGAGCGAAGCCTGAGAGGGTCCATTTCTGACTGTTCCCGTGCTGTGCCGATGCTGTGGATAACGCTTTGAGAACCTTTGCAGTAGTGCAAGTTTTCAGAATGTTGCCGTCTTCTGAGCAGTGAGCTCGCAGTTTTCTGATGTTAGCCTCCGCTGTGTGCCACAGCACCTGTTCAGTCAAAGGGCAATGACAGGCACAAAGGCAACAGAAGAGGTACATCATATGCCTCTTGTAAACTTGTGGGGTGGGAATGGAACTGTTTGCAGTGGCCCGTGGGAGGTTCCTAAGAGAGAGCCTGGGGGAGAATTTGCACATGAGCCTGCCCCAGAGGAACTCTCTCTGCACATACACTTGCTTGTGTTTAATCCAAACATTTCTGCACAAAAGCCATTTAACCTTTTTAAAGTAACTAAATAATCTTAGTAACATAAGTAAATTTCAGGTAAAAAAAATTTTTTTTGAAAGACCTCTTATGAGCCATAGATTACAGCTGTCTGAGATCGATTAGTTTAAAGTAGAAAAATATTAATTTTAAATTTTAATGCATTTTAATTTTCAAGAGTTCATAGAAATCCAACTTTATGAAATATGAAGTATTCTCAGCAACATGTCACTTCAATTAGATGTGCTATTGCATTTGAATTTGTACAATAATTATTGTACATTGAATTTATTCAGGGAAGAAGTGTGAGGTTTACCTGTGAGCATGTGAGTGACAGGGCTGCGCTGCACATTTATACTTTACATACATGGCCTTCATGGTGGCAGGAGCCAGCAAACCATTACAGGGGAGGTGAGCAATGATTTGATGATGAATAGACCTTTTCTTTTTTTCTTTTCGATTTTTTTGGCAGGGTTTCTCTGGGTAGCCCTAGCTGTTCTGGAACTCGCTCTTATAGACCAGGCTGGCTTTGAACCCACACAGATCCGCCTGCCTCTGCCTTCCAAGTGCTGGGATTAAAGGCGTATGCCACCACCGCCCGGCATAGACCTTTTCACTTAGTATGCTCCAACCTCATTTTTTTTTAAATCTCACACATGCAAAATTGCAAGACGCTTGGTTCCAGTAAAATGTTAGACAGCTGTTGTAATAGGAGCAGCGGGGCTGCGTCCCCAGCACCCCTGCCGCCTGCTAGCTTATGCCTTGAAATAATTACACAGACACTGTATTCTTTTAAACACTGCTTGGCCCATTAGCTCTAGCCCTTACTGGCTAATTCTGATATCCGGATCAACCTGTCTTTAATAAACTGTGTAGCACCAGTCTTACTGGGAAAGATTCAGCATATCTGACCTGGTGGCTTGCTTCATAGCCTGTGTCTGCCCGGGAGAGGGGAGCATGGCTGCTCCAGAGAGCAGAGTTGTCGAGTCTGAGCTCACTTCCTCTTTCTCCCAGCATTCTGTCTGTTTACTCCACCCACCTATGTTCTAACCAATAAAATGGGCCAAGGCAGTTTCTTTATTTTTTTAACCAATGACTTTCCTCCATCAGACAGCTGGAAAGTTTCACTTTATTTAAAAATTTATTGAAAGCTTACATTTTTGTGACTTCCCGTTTTAGGTGTTTTCTGAACTATGGCAAGGTTGTTATTTTTATATGTGATTTTCCTAGAGTTTGGCCCCTCCTTCTTTCCTCTTCTCCTCACTCTAGGTTTCATTTCTATGCATATGACTTTCCTGTCTCTTCCTTCTATCTCCCATCAGGGCTGTTGGCCACTGCATCTGGCTTATTACACAGTTTCCAGAACTGAGCTCGGGTTCTGTCAAGCCTGAATGGAAAGTGGCATTGCCCACTGAACCATCTCTGTGTGTGGAACTGAAGACACAGCCTTTCCGTATGTCAGGTGAAGAGAGAGATAAACATAACAACATCAAAGAAAAGGAGAGCAAGGAAGGTTACGAGAAGGTTTGGAGGGAAGAAGTGGGGAGAGAGATGATCAAATTATATGCTAATATTTCAAAAATATTTAAAAAACAGAAACACTTTAACGTTTGGTCCTGCACTCAAATGCTAAGTATTCATGTGCAGAAATGTACAGTCGCGTGCGTACAATAAAAAGTTTAATAATAGCTAAAAGAAGAGAAAAACCAGTGCTGGTTGTTGCCACAGGGAGATCATGTTCCCCTCCCCTTCTTCAGTGTCGTTATATTTGGAAACAGGAGGTAATTGAGGTAAAGCAAAGTCATAAGAGTGGGCCCTAATAAGACGGGGTCAGTGCCCCTGTCATCAGACCTGCCAGAGACCCGCCGTTCCCTGTCTGTTTCCCCACCCACACAAGCACAGGAAGTATTAGATGTGCAGCAGAAAAGAGGCAGGATGCTCACGGTGTCTACATGCTAGACAGACGGGCTGGAACCCCGATCTGGGGCTTCCATCATCTGTGACAAAATAAATGTCTGTTCTTCAGGCCACTGAGTGCGTAGGAGTGTGCATGGCAGCAAAGACAAACATTAAAATGTTTAATATTTTATGCTGGTCATATGGTAGAATATAAGGCAGGAGTTAAAGTGGCCCTAAGGCTTTATAACAGGCCTTATTTCTCACCCCCTTCCCTTTGTGTGCCTTTGGATGAATGCATTTTCTCCTTGTTGATAAATAATTCTTACACCACAGATTCTGGCTGCCTGACGTATGTTCAGTTTTTGGAGCTACAGAGCATGTGCCCAGACCTACTTCCTTCCCTACCTCATCTTGTTGCTTCAGATAAATAAACTTCAGGGACTTAAATCCTGGGACCAGTTCAGTTATACTGCATACTTTATAGCAGTCATACTTTAAGGTTGTCGTTTTTATTATAAGAGCCACCACCAGAAAGATAAAGAAATACACCGCCATTCCATGGCTAAGCCTCTAAATAAGATATTGCTTATTTATGCATTTGTCTCTTGAGGGGATTGTCTTTGGCTGTGTGTGTGTGTGTGTGTGTGTGTGTGTGTTTGTGTGTGATTTGCTTTCTTCACTTAATAGTATTTTTTAATTCACTCCAGTTGATAAGAGTAACTGTTGATCATCTGTTGTCACTTCTGTCTCTCAGTACTTTCCACATCACCTTGACTGAAAGCCACTGTGTGGAGTCTTTCAGTTAGACATTAGTGTACAACAAGCGTCCAGTAATGGTGCAAAATTAAAACTTGGAAGTGAATGTGTCTGTATTCTTGAACAAAAGCTGGGTAGTTTAAGATGCATAACTTGAAAAGTCTTGAATAGTGAATCTTCGGTGCTTAGTGTATTTCACTTCCATATTTAGAGGTTTTTTTTTTTTTTTATGGTAGGTACTAGGCCTTAAGTGGACGACTCAACATGTTGCAAGCAGTGATTCCCTTGTTTGCTGTATTCACTGCCAAATATCCCCTTTGCTTGCTCAAGCACAGTGTAGGTATTCTCTGTAATCGACTTACACATTCTATTTTAAAATTCATTTATTTTCCTTGTTCTCCTTAAGAACTGCTTGGTCATATATATTCATTCTTATTTTTCAGTCTTTTTTTTTTCCTTTTCTGTCCCAGTCAGTTTTCTATTGCTGTAAAGAGACAGCATGACCAAGGCAACTCTTAGAAAGGAAAGCATTTAACTGAGGTCTTGCCTACAGTTTCAGAGGCTTAGTTCATTATCACCATGGCGGTGAGCATGGCTGAAAGCAGACAGGCATGGTGCTGGAGAAGTAGCTGAGAGCTACATTCTAGAAACACAAGCATCAGGCAGAGAAAGAGACACTGGGTCTGGCATGGGCTTTTGAAATCTCAATGCTCACTCCTAAGGACACACCTTCTCCAACAAGGCCACTGTCTTAATCCTTCCCAACAGTTCACCAACTGGAAGCCAAGCATTCAAATATAGGAGCCTGTGAGGTTAATCTCATTCAGACCACCATATTTTCTTTAGTGATTTAGTTTATGTGCATGTCTGTCTGTGCCTCACATGTATGCCTGATGACCTTGGAGGTCAGTAGAGGTCCTCAGATTCCCTAGAACTGGAGTTATAGAAGATCTTGAATCACCATATGAGTACTGGAAATTGAACCTGGGTCCTCTGCAAGAATAAGTGTACTTAATCATTAGGTCATCTCTCTATCACTGCCCCCCAACACTTTAAAACACACAGCCAGCTGATTTTTTTTAACCATCTCTAACATCTAAACATTCAAATTAGTTTTAAGATTTGGTTGTGTACTCTGCTGTTTCTTGGCCATAATATCTTTTGAAGTTTGCTGTTTTACAGGTTACAGGAATTAAGGGTGGGGGTCAACACAAATGTGGTCCCTGTCTGCTCACACTTTCACCCATTGCAGGATCAAGATATTCAAAATCAAGGTATTTTTGGTCTCCACTGCAGCAGTTTTGTTCTCAGCACTGTTGCTTAGAGGGTGTAAGATATTAGTTATGTCTTAGCCCTTTGTGAATTTCTGTAGTATACTCTTTATGTTTAAGATGCGATAGAGGTGATATCTTTTCTCCTATACTCAGTGAAGATGGATAATATCAAGAATACTAAATTTTGTCAGGTAGTTTCAGAGTAAAAGCTGGTTTACAAGTGCTAACTCTCTGGGTCCTCCTTCCACTGGATTTTTAGTAGGTTCTCTATTGTATTTGATTTGTGAATTTATTTTTCAATGAACCTGCTATCTGGCTTTGTTAGTTTCTCACTGAGTGCTGCTTTGATCTTGACAGAAGCCAAAGATTGCAGCTCATCATTAACAATTCTTAAAAATCCATTCCTCAGGTTCTTTTCAAAGTACGTGTTATGATTCTCTGCTGTTTCCTCATTTATCTCGTGATTGTATCATGTAAGTTCTTTGATTTACAGGCTGTTGCTTTATGAATTGACTTTATGAGAATTCCTACAACACATAATTTTGGGGAGGAGAGTGTCAGAAATGCAAAATTATTGGTGATTGGAAAAAAGATAATCATTGAGATTTAAGAGTCAAACTTGGGGTCTATTAACCTTGACAGAATAATTAGAATGCTGTCTTTTTCAAGGGGATGGAGAAATGAGTGCTCCTGGGACACCCAGGACACTCAGCATCTCCTGAGAACTGCAATTATTTCTAATTCATAAATGTGTATTTTTTACAACTAGACTCTCTCTTTAAATATGTTTGTAATCAGGATTTGTGAAGACCTGCTCTGCCTTGTGTTTCAGCATGTGCCTGGGCCTGATGACCTTC